TGTCTTTAATTGATTTTTCCGTACATTTCTGCCATATGTACATTAACTGACAGTCACCACTGATAAGCTACCACTAAATATTGTAGAAACTTAATTTGCTGTAAAGTTGCTTTGCAATGATTTGTATCGTGAAAAGCGCTGTACAAATAAACTTGAATTGAATTGAATTTGTCTCTATATATTCAGATTAACTTCTATATATTCAGATTTGTCTCTATATATTCAGATTTACTTCTATATATTCAGATTTGTATCTATATATTCAGATTTACTTCTATATATTCAGATTTGTATCTATATATTCATGGTTATGACTGTATATTCAGACTTACATTTATATATTCAGATGTACTTCTATATGTTCAGATTTACATTTATACATTCAGATTCACATTAATATATTCAGATTTGTATATATATATATATATATATTCGTGGTTATAACTGTATATTCACATTTTAAGTTTATATATTCAGATTTTACATAATTATTTCCTGTTTGGCGCCTCATAAATGTATATATATATATATATTTTTTTTTTTTCAGGTAACATTTCAAATAACAGTTTTTTTTCATGGTTTTAGTTTTATTTACCTATAATAACCCTGCATGTGATTATCATAGGCAGTCAAAAATGAATTAAGGTATCTTATTAGACAAAATGTGAAGTGATCGTACAATAATTTTATCAGTATCACAAATCACATGATATGATTTTATACAGATCAGTCAAATGCAGGGCATCTTCTAAGTTTTCTTCAGCAAACTTCTCTGGCTGTATTCAGCACTGCCACCACCCAGCCCTCAAATGCTGATTTATTTATAGCCTTTTTTTTGTCATAAACCCTAAATAAACTTCAATGTATTTTTTCCACAATGCCCAACAACGTTAATGATATTTGCCAATGAGTATGGCTTGATGACTCAAAAGTTCTCCTCAGGGAAGCTTTGTAATGCTGAGAACTACTAGCTCGTTGTGGAAACTTCTGTGGATCTGGTGTCTATTTTTGTTGACTTTTTTTCTCATGGTACTTCATCAGAATCAGATAATAGAGGATGGAACCAGATGTTTAGCTGTGACACAGAACTGAAACTGAAGAGATTGTGAGTGAAATCTCTGGCAATGATTTCTGACGTTACTTAAGTTTGTCAGAATCAATACAGAATATCTGATAGAACAAATTAAATAAAACAGAGCAACCAGAACTTCTTCAGTTACAAGACTTGAAGTAACGCTGTAAAAATTTAATCTATTTCAACTTAAAAACTTAAAGGGGTTATATGATGCGATTTCAAGTTTTCCTTTCTCTTTGGAGTGTTTCAAGCTCTTGGTGCATAAAGAAGATCTGTAAAGTTGCAAAGACTAAAGTCTCAAATCCAAAGAGATATTCTTTATAAAAGTTAAGTCAGCCACACCTACCTAAAACGGCTCGTTCTAACATGCCCCCACATATCTACGTTACGATGTGGGAAGATTTGCATAACGCCGCCCAAATGTTCACGCAAAGAAAGAAGGCGTAACTTTTATTCTCGCTGTAGTATTGTTGCCGCCGCCA